AATGCCGATTGACCTTGCTGTCCTACAAGACAATGGTCCTGAGCTCCCAGGTCCAACAACATATCCCCTCAAGGTGTCTGGCTATACCTAAGATGTTTTCCTAACTTTGCCCCCTATACAACACTTTGTTCTCGGATATATTTGCAGCATAGGTAAATGGTCAGCAGTTTCCCCCCCATAATTCCTTCCTGTAAGAAGCACACAGGTCAGGATAGGAGTCAACTCTCCACACAGTTGGCACTGCTAGCCTTCTGGACTAGAGTTCAGGCCCCTCTATTCTAAAATTAAAGCAGAGTCATTGTAACTGGGGTTTGGGGGGTGGCCCCTGGCAGTTGCTACCTCAGCTGTGGACCAGCTCTGTGACAGGCCTCCAGACTTTGGGAAATGCTGCAGGAGGCATGGGCTCCCAAGACTTCCTTCCTCTCACAGCAAAAGAGGGGGTTGTGCATCACCTTGGCTTCTTCAAAGATGACACCCTTTTTACGAAGCCATTTTATTTTAGTTACAAAATACTGGTTCTTTTAAAAAGCATATAAAACCCCCCCGACATTATTTTAAGTTAAAGTTAAAGGTTAGGAATCTGACACATCATCTGGTAATTAAGTCTTCTTTCTTCTCAGCTGTAGTCCACCAAAGCTGACATTTCAAATGGCAAAATCTAGAAAGGAAAACCAAAGAGATAAGTAAGAAATGTTTGGTAAAAATAACAGCTAACATTTTACTTGTTCTACATTCACCCTTATGTTCAGTTATTTAGACTTATCAGAAAGGAAACACTGAACTGTTAAATTTCCTTCCATCTAAAAATCTCTTTTGTTTCAACCAGTGCTCCAGCCTTAGCTAAGCTGCTGGTCTGTGAGGGAATGCCAATGCCCTTGGCAGTCATAATGCCACCTTATGTAAGCCCGACCCCTTACTTCATGGACTCGTCTCTGTCCATGTCTATGGGAGGGCAATGCCTTTAGGATCTCACACCACCTTAACTTTCTCTTCTCAGGATGAGACACAGAATGATGACTGTCTGAAATTCAAGTTCAACCAACAACATTTCTATATTAAACTACCTTCCCATATCCTTTTAAAGAGCCCTGGTAATGCTGTGGGTTGTATTGGGTTGTTAACTGCAAGGTTGACAGTTCCAACCCAACAGTTGCTTCTCGGAAGAAAAATGATACTGCTCCCTTAAAGATTTAGTTTTGGAAATTCTGTCCTATGCATGCTTGCTATGAGTAGGAATCGACTCAATGGCAATGTGTTGTTGATTTTTTTACTTTTTTACTCTTTTAGATTTCTAAGACCTCCTCCTTCCCTCCACCCTGTTGTTGTTATTGTTAAGTGCCATCGAGTCAGTTCCATCCCATAGTGACCCCTGTCTAGTGTTTCTGAGGAATGGCTGGTGGGTTTGAATCGCTAACCTTGCAGTTCAAACTGACCCTGCAGTCCAGCCTGACCCTGCGGTCCAGCGCATTATCCTGCAGTGCCATACCAGGGCTCCCTCCATCCTAGTGACTACTAAATTTAAGTCAACAAAACATCTTTAAAGAAAACAAAACAAAACAAAAGGCAAGGCCACATACAGTTCTGTCTTTCACCTGGCAAGTATATCTAGCTCGAGGGCCTGTGAGTGGTAGTAGGTGGTGGAGGGTGTCATTCTCTGACCGGGGTGAGGAACAGAAGGCTGGGGTGCTTCCCACAAGCTACGTCCATGCTTCCCAAAATGCCATGCAGACAATGGTGGGAAGTGTTGGATCCGGATTCAATTTCTGCTTCTTCTCTTCACTATGTACAATGTGAACCCTTTCTCCATCTTTACAATATATGTGCTTTACAGAGCTGTTGTTGCAAGGGTTAAACAGCACACTTGTCTATAAAGTGCTTAGCACAGAATGATCATCCAGTACTGCTATTTTGACTAATTGTTGTTGTATTGACCCTGTATAGGGTTTCCAAGGACTGGAAACTGCCACCTTGTGGTTCAAACCAACCTTGCAGTCCAGTGCTTTTCCTATCCGAAAGGTCTTTACTAAAACTACAATAGCCTGTTGCCGTCAAGTCAATTCCTACTGGTTTTCAAGGCTGTACTCTTCCTGAAAGCAGATTGTCATGTGTTTTCCCCACAGAATGGATGGTGGGTTCAAACCTCTGACCTGTTGGTTAGCAGCTGAATTCTTAGCCACTGTACTACCAGGACTCCTTAAAAGTATGATCAGAGAAATCAAACTGACAGGAGCACAGAATCTCAGAGTGGAAAGTCACAGAGCCCAGCCGATTTCTAAAAGAACAGATGTCCAGACTTAGCCACAGACATAAGAGAATAAATACACCTGAGTGCAGGGGAAAGTAGAGTCCCACTGACTAGTTTTCATCTTGTCTAGACAGGTCTGCTGAAAAGAGATGGGGATAAGCGTCTTATGATTCAATAGTAATTGTTATCATGGCTAATTGCAACTGTCACAACTATAAAGGTAGAAATTCTGTAACAAAAACAGGGGAGTAGTTAATCTTACAGTCCAGAAACTGAGGACCCTAGGACCATCAAGGGAGAAAGAAGAGCACGATCAGAATGCGGGACCTTATCCAGAGAAGCAGTGACACCAGAGACGGAGGCAGAGATGGGGACATGCAGAGAGAGAGCAGCTGAGGACTCTAGAATCATGGAAAGAGAGGGACTGAGTGCTGGCGGCCAGGAGGCAGGCTTGCAGAGTGTGCCCTTTGGTTGTTTAAATTATTATATATTCCTATGCGGGGGAAGGTAGAATTTCCACTTAGTGGTTTTCAACCTGTCTAGACGAGGTTGGTCAAAGGAGATGGGGATAAGACTTTTGTGGTTCAATAGTGAGTGATTGTTATCAGGACTGACTGCGATTGTTGCAAATGTAAAGGTAGATGTTTCTTAACAAAAGGAGGGGAGTGGTGGATCTTGAAGCCCGACCTGGACCATCAAGGGAGAAAAGCACAGTGCGGGGCCTATCCAAAGAAGCAGTGACGCCAGAAATGAAGGCAGAGACAATGATGTGGAGAGATGGAGTGGCTAGGTACTCTGGACTCAGGGAGGGAGAGGGGCTGTGTGCTGGTCACCAGGGGGCAGGCTTGCAGGGTGTGCCCTCTGGTTGTTTGTTGTTGTTGTGTGCCACGGAGTTGGTTCCGACTCATAGTGACCACACTGTACAGGGTTTCCGAGACTGTAAATCTTTACAGGAGCAGAAAGCCTCATCTTTCTTCCATGGAACAGCTGGTAGTTTTGAACTGCTGACCCTGAGGTCCACAGACCGATTCATAACTACTATGCTACCAGAGCTCCTTTTTGTTTGAATGACTATATATTCCTGAGTGCTACGGTGTACATCCAAAAAAAAACAACAGAGAGAATAAAAGCAAATGCTTGAATGATGATGCACGACAGAGGAAATTATAATCATTGCAATGAAATGAAATACTATAGGATGACTGTAAAGCTGATGTTCTCCCATGTAAACTATCACTCAATTCACAATAAAAACTTTAAAGTGTTTTTGTGTACGTCCGCCCCACCCCCCCATCTCCCCCCTCCAAAAAAAACAGACACAAAAACAGGGAATGGAAGCAAATACTGTTGAATGATGATGTACGGACATTGTAATCACTGCAATGAAACGATGAGTGTAAAACCCATGTTTTCCCATGTAAACTATCACTCAACTCACAGTAAAAACAAGCCAAAAAACAAAAAAGAATACCCCTGAGGTTGGGACCTGGAGTCTGTCTTTAACAGGTGCCCTAGCAATTCTGATCATCAGTCAATATTGGGAACCAATGACACAGAATTCTCTGTCACCATACTTGAAGCTTTTCATTTTTTAAGAAAGCACAGAACTCTACCTAGTAAATGATGAAACTGGATCCACATACACACACACCAGAACTAAGGGGACTGCCCATTGTCACCTGTTAAATCTGTATGTGACAGGGCTCTGTAACAACTTCTGGCTGTCTTGATGTGTTTAATTCCACATTTTCTATAAACCTCTGTATGGTATGGACTGTTTATATGGTCTGGCCACAACAACAAGCAAGGCCTCATGCCTGTGACAAGGGGACTCACAAGCAAAAGCCAAGGAGCATGAAAACATACTTTGTCCAAGGAATGGACTTCAGGAGCATGGAGACAGGGGCAGAAGAGGTGCAAACAGTTATCTAGGTTAAGACAGATCAGGGAGGAATTTACATGCCATACCAAAGAGATTCCACTTTATCTTGAAGATAACCTGGTTTCTTAAGCTTGGGTGCAGTAGAGGCTTCAAATGACCTGTGACTCTCCATATTCTCCTGAAATTCTAGGCACATCCATACATACTTCTACTAGGAACTTCTCTGGGGAGAAGGTCCACAGCTTTCATGAGGTTCTCAGAAAGAGACCTGATTAGAACCACTTCTCCCAGTATTGGAGGACCATTGCAGGCTTTAGTGGACTAGTCATGTGTGTGCTTTAGAAATGGCATTTTAGAGGAGGGGAGTACGCTAAACTGGAAACAAGGAGACAGGAGGGAACAGATGAGGCACAAGCACACTCTGCCCTTATGTAGAGCTATTTAACAGGCCCCTCACTCAGCCCCTAAGACTCAGTAATCTGGAATTCTCTCAACAGTCACATCCATTGACTGGCCTGCCCTAACTCCCTATTTCACATTGGCAAAGCCATAGGACTAAGGTGCACCTGACCCAAGTCACAGTCTTTTCAATCACCTTGTATTCATGTGAAAGCTGGACAGTGACTAAGGAAGACCAGAGGAAAAGTTGATAAATTTGAATTGTTGGTGAAGAATAAGGACTGCCAGAAGAACAAACAAAAATCTTGCCTTGGAAGACATACAGCTGGATGCTTCTTAGAAGCAAGGATGGCAAGACTTGTCTCCTGCACTTAGGGCATGATATCAAGAGGGACCAGTCTCTGGGAAAGGACGTCATTCTTGGAAAAGTACAGGATAAATAACAATAAAGCAATAGTACCTTTGGTTTTCCTTTCAGTTATCTTTCTTCTTTGGCTGCTGCTTCTTTTTGGCCTCCACTCTCTGGAGTTCTGCTTCCAATCTTCTCCTTTGGTATATTTTGACACTAGCAAACGCCAGGCAGAGGATTAATGTTTTTGCTGCCAAGATATACAGCAGTACAGGCACATGATCAAGAACCTTTAAGAAGAAAAAGACCATTCTAAATGTTCTGTACTCAGTATGGACGGTTTCTTCTCTCAGCAAATGTTTACTGAGCACCTAAGTATGGAAGAGGCTCTGGGCTAGGTGCTGGGGTTACATTGCTGAGCAAGACAGACAAGGTCCCTGAGCTGTGAAGCTGTCTAGATTCAGCCTGGCCTTTCCCACTCCTCTGCCTGGCTTCACAGAGGACCACAGTCCACTACAGATGTGCAGTAACTCTGATCTTTCAGTGTTATCACATAATTTGCCCATCACCCAGGCCTCTGCTTCTGAGGCAGCAGTGTGGTTCGATGAAAAGAACCAGGAGGCAAGAAAAGAAAAAGAAACCCCCAAAACAAAACATTTGCCATGGAGTTGACGCTAACTCATGGTTACCCAGTGTGTGTCTGAGTAGAGTGTGCTCTGTGGTCAAGCCCGCATTACAGCCCGCATTGTTCCCTAGGATCTAAGTCTGCAACTTAGCTTTAAACATTTCAGGAATGTATTATCTTAAGCAGAAGTCAGAGGACTCATTGAAATGGTAACATAACAACAAATGGACACAGAGAAGTGGTTTCGGTGTTTACTTTCTTTCTAAAAGTGGCAGGGAGGAGCAGGCAAGAGGTGGGAGGCATAAGATTGAGATGGAGGCAGAGTAATGGCAGGAGAGGTCAAGGGCATTGAAAGGGTTAAAGTCAAGAGTTTCAGGGTCCCTTTTCTAGCCCCTTTCTTGGGTACTACTGCTGTGCTAAATCTCTCCTTTGATTAGAATCTAACACCTTACACCAAACCATAACCAAGCCCACTGCCATCAGGTTGGTTCCAACTTATGGTGACTGTGGTAGTTAGGGTTTGTGTCAACTTGACTGGGTCAAGATTCCCAGTGGTTTGGCAGTTGAGATGTGGTCATCCCTCTGGTGGGATCTAACACAGTGTAGTTAACTCTATGGTGATTAGCTACGAGCAGTCAATCAATTGAAAGGATGTTTCCTCAGAGTGTGGACTGCTTCCACTCAGACAAAGCTTGTTTGCTTTCAGCTGGTTCTGGATCTTGCATTGGACTCAGCCTCCAACTTCTGGTTCTTTGGGCTTCAGCCAATGGCCTGATCTATAACCTGCTGATCCTGAGAACCATCAGATGTCTGCCTGCCTGCTGGACCTGCCTGCCTGCCAACCTTAGTTCATCTCTTCGACAACTGTGAATCATTTCCTTGATATAAACTTATATATATATATACATACACACACATATACATACATATACATTTAGCGCTGTGGATCAATGCTGTTGAGTTGGTCCCAAACCATGGCGACCCTGTGTAGGGTTCCTGAAGAGTGACTGGTGAGCTTGAACTGCAATTTGAACCACAAGATCTGTAGTTCAAGCTCACCAGTCACTCCTTGGGAACTGTATACAGGGCTGCCATGGGTTGCGACCAACTTGACGACACTTAACAATAACAAAACAACATATGTTACACATAAGGATCTCTGGTAGTGTAGTGGTTACGAGTAGGCCTGCTAATCTCGTGGACAGCAGTTCAAAACTACCAGTGGTTCTTCAGGAGAAATATGAGGCTTTCTGCTCCCGTAGAGATTTACAACCTTGGAAACACTATACAGGGTTGCTATGAGTCGGAACTAACTCCATGGCACACTGCCACCACTATACATATCACTATATATATGTGTGTGTGTGTGTATAAAATTTTCACTGGTTTTGCTTCTCTAGAGAACCCAATCCAAGACATTTGGTACCAAGAATGGTTCTAGAGAAAGAAAATCATAAAGATGAGGTTTCTAAAATTAGTTCTCAAGTCTGACTAACATTAAAGGCACCAATAACTCTGCCTCCACTGGTAAAGAGGGTAAGTGTGCTGCTAATTAATATGTGGGGTGTCCATATTAATACACAAGTATCACCACCAATCGATCATGTATTGTAGAGAAGCAAGGCTCTGGGTGGTCGTGTATATGATGCTTTACAGAACTTTTAGGATGAGAAGTATAGCACAAGCTGGTTGGTTGGTTCCACTTATAACAGAGCAAGTGGCAAAGGAAAAAGATGAGCTCAGGGCGAAGGAGTCAGAGCTCAAGTACCACATAAAAGACTTCCAAGTTTCCACTTGTGTCTTGAAAGAAAGCTTTATTTCGTGTAGTAGCAGAGCCGATGTTGTGGAAAACCAAACACAGAATGTTATTGTAAGAATGGCTGAATTGCAATGCCAGCTGAACTCCTAACCTGGAAATTTTTCTGATGATAAAGAAAACAGTGACTGAGAAGAAATGGGATCCTGAAACTTGGGATGGGGACATATAAGCAGATAATCCAGAAGTGAGGGACACAGAGTCCTGAAATTCCACTGGCTCACTCTTGTCATCCGTCTGAAGAGACTACTCCATCTTTGTCTGCTGGTCCACTAGCAGTGAAACCATTATCCCCCCTCATGCCCACACGTGATGAGATTAGCCCAACTGTGCCTGCTGAGATGATGGTCTGAGGTAGCTGTCTTGCAAGACAATGCTGAAAGTTCCCAGGAAACACCTTCACCAATGATTGCTTGTAGATTAATAACTAGACTTAAATCCCTTCAATCCCCAAAAGGTGAAGTACAAACTGTGAAGTATGCTATGCACCAAAGAACTGCTTACTTTTCTAATAGGTACAAACAGAAACCTAGAGAGTATGCAGGAGAATGGTTATTAAAGATGTGGGATAATAGTGCATGGAACAGAGTTAGATCACTCTGAGTTTATTGATAAGGCCCCCTGAGTACAGATGCTTCACTAAATGTTTAAACTCGAGAGGATCTAAGAGTTGATTTTGTTGGTTCACTGAGCCTGGACTACACAGTGACTAGATCAAGCTGAAGTACTAGATCTGTGTTGGTATTCTGTAGAGAAAGGAATCCAAAGGCTTCAAGAATTGGCAAGTTCGCATGCACTTATCATGGCGTGCCCAGAAGACACACCTTTTACCACAACAGTAAAGAATAAATTTGAGAAGGGAGCCTCAGTCTTTTTATGTAAGCCAGATTTGACAGTGGGAGCTGCCCTAATTGAATTAAGATACCTAACTACAATGAGTCCTGTTGTGGTATTATGGGTTAATGCTCTGGACTGCAAAGTTGGTGGGTCAAGCTCATCAGCCGCTCTTTGGAAACCCTATAGAGTGTCGTTATGAGTCGGATGGCACTTAACAACAATACCAACTACAGTGAGGCTGATTGGACCCTATGTGGGTAGAGGCCCAAGTTGTTGTTGTTGTTAAGTGTCATCGAGTTGGTTTCGACCCATAGCGACCCTGTGGGTGTGGTTACCGTAATGGACAGCAGAATCAAAGTAGTCATCTGAATAGTCTGACTTGTGTGGACTTATGGCACTGGTTAATTAGGCAGGGTATCCCTAGGAGTGAAAGCAATGGGAAGCCTACTACCTACTTGATCTGTACAAGAGGAAGAATTCTAGGTCAACTGACTAGCAGTCTAACTTGAGTCACCAGAATAGAGAGTCACAGCCTCGCAATCGATTCCCAGATTTGAGCCAGTTCACAGACTCACAACCATTTGTATGAAGGGGTGGCCAGGTCCCTTAAGGAAGGACCCCACTATGCTGCCAGCTGTTTGTCTTTATCCTAGCCTTCCTCAAAGAAATGTATGGCCTTTTACAAGAGTGAAAGTTCACTGGTGAAAAAGAAATAATCGGGCTTTCCGGGAATTACTGGACACTGTCTCTGAATTGACACTAATTCCAGGAGGTCCAAAACATCACTGTGGCCCACCAGTCAAGAGTGGGGTATGTGAATGTCAAGTTATTAATGGAGTCTTAGCTAACGGATGTTTGGATGCAGTGGGTCCCAAAACTCATCCTGGGTGATTCTCCCAGTTCCAGAATGCACAATCAGTATAGACATACTCAGCAACTGGCAGAACCCCCACATTGGGTGCCTGAAATGTGAGATACAGGCTGCTATGAATGGAAAGGAGTCCTGGTGTAGCACCATGGGTTAACGCGCCATACTGCAAAGCCATGTCAACTACAAAGGCTGTGGTTCAAGTTCACGAGGTGCTCCATGGGTACCCTATACAGGGTTACTATGGGTTGGAACCAACTCTACGGCACTTCACAACAAAAGAAAAATGATTGGAAAAGTAAGCGGAAACCATTAGATCTACCTGTACAAAAGAGAATAGTAAACCAAAACCCAGTACTGCATTCCTGGAGGGACTGCAGATATTAGTGCTACAAACGAGGATTTGAAGGATGAAGGGGTGGTGATTCCCACTACATCCCCATTTAACTCGCCAATCTGGCCTGTAGAAAAACAAAAGGTCTTGGAGAATGACTGGATTATCGCAAATTTAACCAGCTGGCAACTCCAATTACAGCAGCTGTTTCAATTAAACTGTTTCATGCTTGAGAAAATACATCTCCGGGTACCTAATATGCAGCTATTGATCTGGCCAATGCCTTTTTCTCAATTCCAGTTTCTAAGGAGCTCTGGTAGAATAGTGGTTATGAGTTGGGCAGCTAACCTCAAAGTCATAAGTTTGAAACTACCAGCCATTCCACAGGAGGAGGATGAGGCTTTCTGCTCCCGTAAAGATTTACTGCCTTGGAAATCCTATACAGGGCCACTATGAGTCGGAACCGACTCCACGGCACACCACCACCACCACCAAGGATCACCAGAAGTGGGTTCCCTTCAGCTGGCAAGGTCAACAATATACCTACACTGTCCTACCTTAGGGGTACATCAACTTCCTAACACTATGTTATAATTTAGTATATAGGGACCTTGATTGTCTTTCCCATACACAAGACATCACACTGGTCCATTACATTGATGACATTATGCTCACTGGACCTAGTGAAGAAGAATCATCAATGACTCTAGACTTATTGGTAAAACAGCTACAGGGCAGAAAATAAAACAACTACAGGGTAGAAAATAAACTCAACAAAAAGTCAGCTACCTTTCACCTCAGTGAAATTTCTAGGGTTCAACAGTGTGGTGCATGTAAAGATATTCTTACTAAAGCTAAAGGTAAGTTATCGCATCTGGCCCCTCTCACAACTAAAAAAGAGGCACAACACCTGGTGGGCCTCTTTGTATTTTGGAGGCAACAGCCCTCATTTGGGTGTGCTACTCTGGCCTATTTACCAAGTGACTTGAAATGCGGCTAATTTTGAGTGGGGCTTACAAGACAAAACTCTGCAACGAGTTCAGGATACTGTGTATGCCGCTCTGACACTTGGCTCCTATGATCTAGCAGAACCAATGGTGCTTGAAGTGTCAGATAAAAATGCAGTTTGCATCTCTGACAGGCTCCTATTGGTAAGAGCATAGACCCTTCGGGTTTCGGAGCAAAGTCCTTCCATTCTCTGCAGAAAACTACTCTCCTTTTGAGAAACAGCTTTTGGTTTGTTACTGGGCCTTAATAAAGATTGAATGGGGCCACCAATTCACCATATGACCTGAGCTATCCATTGTGAACTGGGCAGCTTTATAACCCACAGAGTCATAAAGTTGGATGTGCACAGCAGCACTCCATCATTAAATGGAAGTGGTATGTATGAGACTGGGTCAAGCAGGACCTGAAGGCACAAGTAAATTGCATGAAGAAGTGGCCCAAATGCCCATGGTCTCCATTCCTGACATTACCTTCCCTCCCACAGTCAACACCTAATGCCTTCCTGGGGAGTTAACCGAGAAAGCGAAAACTCATGCTGTACACGAAATGCAGTCATCACTTAAAGTGGATAGAAGCAGCACTGCAGCCTCTTTCTGGGACTTCCCTGAAGGACAGTGGTGAAGGGAAATCCTCCCATTGGCCAGAACTTCAAGCAGTGCACCTGGTTATTCATTTTGCTTGGAAGGAGAAATGAGATGTATGACTGTATACTGATTCATGGGCTATGGCCAATGGTTTGGCTGCATGGTCAAGGACTTGTAAGGAATGTGATTGGAAAATTGGTGAGAAGGAGGTGTGAAGTGGTATCTGGATAGACCTCTTTGAACGGACCAAAAAAATGAAGATATATGTGTCTCATGTGAACGTGCACCAAAGGATTACCTTGGCAGAGGAGGATTTTAACAATCAAGTGACTAGGATGACACATTCTGTAGAAACAAATTATGCTTCTCCAGCCACTCCTGTTATTGCTCCATGGGCTCATGAACAAAGTGACCATGGTGGCAGACATGAAGGTTATGCCTGGGCGCTGAAGCATGGGCTTCCACTCACCAACACTGACTTGGCTACAGCCACTGCTGAGAGCCCAATCTGCCAGCAGCAGAAACCAACACTGCCTGTGATCTGGGACCACTCCTTGGAGAGATCAGCCAGCTACCTGATGACAAGTTCATTACATTGGACCACTTCGATCATGGAAAGGGCAGTGTTTTGTTCTTGCTGAAATCGACACTGGATATGGATTAGTCTTCCCTGCATGCAGTGCTTCTGCTAAAACTACCATCCATGGACTTACAGAATGCTTTAGCCACTGTCGTGGTATCCCATACAGCATCCCCTCAGATCAAGGGACCCACTTCAAGCAAATGAAGTGCTGTAATGGACCCATGCTTATGGAATTCATGGGTCTTACCATGAATTATCCTCAAGCAGCTGTCTTTTAAACAAGAAAAACTTGCAACTAAAATATACATATGGATTACAGATTTGAAAGTATGCACAACACATTTGTATGTAAAAATATTGGCAGAAATGAATATTTAAACAAATTCTTTACAGTAGCCTTCTTTGGATGTTGAGACCATACAAAGTTTTTAATTGATTTTATGCTTTCGGAAGTGTCTACAGTAAGCACTGAGGTCAGACGCTGCTCTGTTACCTAACTTCTGCCTCACCTCATTCAACTACAAGGATTTAAAATGACACTTTCCTTGCTTTATCCAAGCCTACTTTACAGGGACCAGTTGAGCTTATACCCCAGTTCATTCTAGTTGTACTTGATGCTCTACTATTTCCATATGAAGGGCTTCAACAATTTCCTGGACCAATTGGTGGTAAAAAGAAAATGGAACTTTTCCACTAACGTTCTGAAGCCTCCTCATCTTCTAACACTTATAAAATATGACTGTGTAAAGGTTGTTTCTATGAAAACTGAGCTGAAGGACTCAAAATATGAGAGGTGGTTGGCAAGACAACTGCAGAAGACCAGAGAAGAAGTGTGTAAAGATCTGGAGAGGTTTTGTATGTAGATGGCTCTATAAAATCTTAATCCTCTTTAAAAGAAACCAAATGTGAAACTGCAGCTATTATTGCTTTCTTAAAGCCATGGTTTTGTAAAAGTGAGGCAGACAGTAGTCAACTCACTTTCAATGAAAAGTGAGCTGGTCCTAACAGTCTGATGAATAAATGTACACTTATGTGATTGGCTTAAAATATTAAATATTATGGCTCCTGCTTTAATCTCGTTCCCCTCCACTTCCACCCCTCTGCTGCCCCGAATACAATCTTCCTCTACAGAGCTATTACCTTAAATCTGTACAACCAAGGGGAGAAGGCCAGCCATAAGTGTTTACAATTCTTCTCACCTTCCAGTTCATGCTGGAGCAACTGAAAGTCACACCTGCGCGGTGCAGGCCAACTCAGGCAAGTACATCAGGAGGGAGTGGGCTGAAGGTTAGCTCTCGCTGTTCTGTGGGGAAAAAATAGAAACAGAGGTTCATGTGGGTTATCTAGAGCAGACCACCTTAGGTAGACTTCTCTGTGATGGAGAGAGAGGGCACAGGGGCACAAGAGAGCAAGCTCCACAGAGAGATAGGTTCAGTGTTATGAACAAGGCTTCCTTGGGCTTGGTGGGAAGTAGACAGGCTGGGCAAGGTCTGAACCAGGCTCGGCAACTGGAAAGGGGGCGCAGCCAGATACAGAGGCAGCAGTGCTATTTCCAATGAGAACACATGCTCCCAGTCCATTCATCTGCAGACAGAAGAGAACTGATACCAATTCTAGTCTGTTCAGTTCTGTTCCCAAACTCACTGCAATCAAGTTCTTCTGTCCCCAGGCACTTAAAGTTAGGTCAGAACTCACAGTGTAAGGGCACATGCCTCCTCACTGCAAAGTCTACCGAAATTTGGGGGTTCCCACTACTCGCTCAAGTTTGATAGTTCATTAGAATGACTCACAGAACCTAGGAAAACACCACATTTATTACAAAAGATTCAAATCAGAACCAGAATAAAGAAAAGACACATAAGGCAAGGTCTGGACGGGTCCCCAGCATGAAGCTTTCATGTTCCATGGGAAGTGTTTATTGTTCAGGTACAAAGATGCCTATCACCAACCAGGAAGCTCACCTGAGCTTCAGTATCCAGAAGTTTACTGGGGGTTTCATTACATGGGACTGATTGACTCATTGCCCATGGAAATTAACCCAATCTCCAGCTCTCCTTCCAGAAGTCAGATGATTTACCTCATTAGCATAAAGTCACCCAATTCAGTACGGAATCCTTCAGTAATTGCAGACACTCCAATCAATGGAAAACATTCCAAGGGTTTACCTCCCAAGAACCAAGGACAAAGATCAAAATCTATGGGTAAAGCAATTCTTCACCCCACAGAGACCAACTCCAAAATCTGTGTCCCCAACCCACCTCCTCTCTGGATAAGAGCTGATTTTAGATGTGTGTCTTTCTGTTTCTCAGGTCCTCTGACTGTTGACTGATTAAGCTAATCTTGGCTTTTTACAAATATCTGAAGGGAAGGGAATAAATCACAGGAAAAAAAAAAATATGTAAGAAAGCAATTCAGGTCTAGAATTCCTTCAAAAAGGTGAGGGAGACTTCGGGAAAAGTGAGGCAGAAAGTACCAGGGCCAGGCCACAGGCTGTATGCAGGATGTGCTCTGGGGCCTTGCGTATCACTATTTTAGAATGTAACGTAAGCTCCAAGAGCTAGGGGACTTGAGCTCTAGATGAAGAGCCTACATACTCTGGACTAAGAGACTTTCCTCTCAGAGACTCGATCCCATCGATAACAAAGGGAATGCCAACTAAAAGGTCTCTAGGGACCCTACTTTTTCTAAAATTCAATGACTTACAGCAAAATAATCAGTTTGCCATTACAATGCCAGGCCAGGTTCAAGTGGTTTCAATTCAAGAACTCATACAATTCTCACACCAACCCTATGCGGTATAATTTATTGTCTCTACAGAACTTGGGTTTGGGGTAGGCTGTGGGCTACAATTGGAGCCCTAACTCCATTCTGAGTCTTGATGGAAGTTCAAACTCCATTTGAGTTACTGATGTTACTTACTCAGCACTTGCTATGCAAGCCCCAGCAGGGGCAGGTTGACCTCAGAAAGAATACGGTTCAAAGAGTATGCAGAAACATGCTTACACAGAGAAGTAGGAAACTTAATTGGGCATGTCCTTAATGACTTATTGAAAATAGTCAATCAGAATAACTTACTTTAGCTAGCCAGTCAGAATACTTCATACTGGTGTTGTTAAATGCTGTCCAGTAGGTTCCAACTTACAGTGTCCCTGTATAGTGTTTCCAAGGAGTGGCTGCTGGGTTTGAACCACTGACCTTGCAGTTAGCAGTCAGGTGTTTATCCTACAGCACCACACCAGAAGTCCCTTTATACTGTTAGTTCCTGACATTTTAATTTTTCAGCCTCGCCGGTGGAGCACTCAGTGGGAGGAAGCACTGTGTTGAGAGCTTCTTGACCCTGGGTTTCCCAATTCATGAATTGTTTTCTCCTGTATTAAACCTCTCTGCTTTTAGCTTTACACAAAGTCCAAGTTTCTCAGCTCTAGACACATTACATGATGGGCTTCAAAAAGATTGTGGACAAATGGAATGGAAAGATAATGGAATTTCCCACAACATTTCTGCAGCTCCCTTGTCTAAGAGAAAATAGAAAGTTTAAGAATGTGTAAAGGGTTACACAAGTTGGACTGGGTTTCTAATCTATCCAGTCTGACTTCAGAACCTTAGCCTAAGTATTAGACTGAGACAGACAGTTTCATATTTCAACACTCTTCTTTAAATGTATTTATAATTAAAATTAAGAGAAAAGGCAGAATGCATCACAAGTATTTAGGTGGGGGTCTAAAATGAACTTCAGGAAAGATGTCTTCTATAATCTTGCAATTACAAAAGTATTATATTTATTATTAAAAGGTCATATCTTATCTATTCAACATTACAGTATCTTAAAAACAAGCTGGGAGTTGGCACAAGATAGCAAAGTTTTCCCCATGACTTTTTCAAAGTCAGATAAACTAATGATAGGAACTTAAACCATAACTCCACTTAAATGTGATGATGATAACTGAACGTGTTCATTACCTTCATGTAAAAATATAGTGTTGCAGGAGAATATCAAAAGTACCATGGGCCTTCCTCTTTCCACCATCTTGGAGTCTGGGGAGGCCTGCTGGGAACAAGACTTCAGAGCCGGCACTATGTCTAGAAGGCTATGGTCCAAGGCAATTTTTGGGTCTCCAGAACCAACGGGAACATACAGCTTTTCTTAAAATTGAAGGTGTTAATGCTAGAGATGAAACCGAATTCTGCTTAGGCAAAAGATGGGCTTATGTGTACAAAGCAAAGAGCAATACAGTGACTTCTGGTGGCAAACCTAACAAAACCAGAGTAACCTGGGAAAAGGTAACTCATGCCCATGGAAACAGTGGCATGGTTCGGGCTAAATTCCGAAGCAATCTTCCTGCTAAGGCCATTGGACACAGAATCCGTGTGATGCTGTATCCCTCAAGGATTTAAACTTACTGAAAAGTTGTGGATTTGTTATTTGTTAAAAATGAATGAAATTGTGGATTTGTTACTTGTTAAAAAAAATAAAATAAAAAATACCATGGACTGCCAAAAGAACAAACCAGTCTGTCTTGAAAGAAGTACAGCCAGAATGCTCCCTGGAAGCCAGGATGGCCAGACTTCGTCTCTCATACTCTGGACATATTGTTAGGAGGGACCAGTCTCTGGAGAAGGATATCATGTTTGGTAATGGAGTATGGGACAAAAAGAGGAAAACTCCCAAATAGATGGATTGGCACAGTGGCAGTAGCAATGGACTCAAATGTAGCAACAATTATGAAGTTGGCAAAGGACAGGGCAGTGTTTTGTTCTGTTGTACATAGGGTCTCTATGAGTTGGTACTGACATGATGGCACCTAACAACAACATGCTATATAATGGGAGTCCTGGTGTAGTGCTGTAGGATAACCACTAAACTGCTAATCACAAAGTCACTGGTTCAAACCCACCAACCACTCCTTGGCAACCCTGTACAGGGTTGTTGTGAGTTGAAACCAACTGGAAAGCAGTTAACAACTACAGTATAAAGTATTCTGATTGGCTAACAACAACAACAACAAAATGTTACATAAGGAGCCCTGGTAGCCTAATGGATTACAAACTGGGCTGCTAACTGCAAAGTCAGCAGTTCAAATCTTCCAGGTGCTCCATGGGAGAAAGATTAGGCTTTCTGTACCCATCAAGACTGACAGCCACGGAAATTCTACACAGGATCACTGGGAGTAAGAACCGACTTGGTGTCACACCACCACCACCACCACTATCAATATGCTATATAATCTGTTGGTAAAATTTTCACTTTGAGTAATGTCTTAATAATCTTATGGATTACCCAGCGCTCCAAATTAAAATATTCAAGATCGTGTAAATTTTATTGTTGTGATTCTTACTTTATGAAGTGTTGGAAGCAGTTTGCACTAGACTGCTAACCTACAGGCTGGCAGTTCAAACCTATACTGCAGAAGAAAAGTCTTGACAATCTGCATCCCTTAAGGTAACAGCTAAGAAAACCCTATGGAGCAGTTCTACTCTATAAATACATGAGTTTTCCGTGAGTCAGAATGGATGACAATTAACAACAACATACAGATAAACCTGGGGAATTTGGCTGTTCCTTATCATTTTCCTTAGGCCAAAATGACTTGCCCAATGAACTGATGTATGTAGAATATTGATTCCCAAGGTCAAGGACAACTCACTCATACACCAAAATTAAGCCAATGCAGTTGATTCAGTTCCAACTATAATATACAGTAGAACTTCCCCATAGGGTTTCCAAGGCTGTAAAACTTTACAGAAGCAGGTTGCCACATCTTTCTTGTCAAACAGCCAGTGGGTTCAAACTGCCAACCTTCTGGTTAGCAGCACAAACCAAATCGGTTACTACCGAGTCAATTCCAACTCATAGCAACCCTATGTAGGGTTTCTGAGGCTATAAATCTTATGGGAGCAGAAAGCCTCATCAGTTAGCAGCCAAGCACTTAAATTTATAGGGAAATTTTTTTTTAAAAAAGAACACTCAATAGAATGGCCCTCTGGCAGACATGTGCTACATTCACAAGTAGTATGACCTTGGATAAGTTACTTGGACTCTCTAAGCTTTACCTCCCTCATCTACATATTCTCCTTCAGAGACTAGACTGTAAATATCAAGTACTATGCTCATTAGGAGTCCTTGTATGGTGCTGTAGGTTAATGTACTGGACTACAAGGTCACTTTGAATCACAAGGTTGGCGATTCAAGCTCACCAGCCACACCTCAGGA